CTGCCAATGCTTCTCGGGTGTCTTCGGTTATGCAGCACTTGTGGCACCAGCGAATGGGTCATCCCTCTTCTACTGTCCTTGGTCAATTGCCTTTTGTTGAGTCTCGCTCCTTGGTCTCGAATAAAACCTGTGATGTTTGTTGTCGGGCGAAGCAATCTCGTGCTAGCTTTCCTCTTAGTCGTAGTGTGAGCAGTTCCATTTTCAGTCTGATTCATTGCGATGTGTGGGGACCTTATAGAGTTCCCGCCTTTAGTGGTGCTCGATATTTTTTGACTATTGTTGACGACTATTCTCGTGCCACTTGGATTTTCTTATTGGATGATAAATCGTCTGTCTCCTCTACTTTGATGAATTTTTTTGCTCTCATTAAACGGCAGTTTGGCGCCTTGGTTAAAACAATTCGCAGTGATAATGGGACTGAATTCACATGCCTGCGTAATTATTTCCTCCAACAAGGGATTGTTCACGAAACTTCTTGTGTCGGAACACCTCAACAAAACGGGCGTGCTGAGCGCAAGCATCAACATATTCTTAATGTGGCTCGTGCTCTTCGCTTTCAGGCCCATTTACCGATTGAATTCTGGGGTCATTGTGTTCTTGCTGCTGGCTATCTGATTAATAGAACACCTACACCTATTTTATTCGGTAAGACCCCTTATGAGATTTTGTACGGCAAACCTCCTGACTACGCACATTTGAGGGTATTTGGTTGTCTGTGCTACGTACATAATCAGAACAGGGATGGTGACAAATTTGCAAGTCGGAGTCGACGGTGTGTCTTTGTGGGTTATCCAGCTAGTCAAAAGGGTTGGTGCGCATATGACTTAGATAGTCATAGTTTTCTGGTCTCACGTGATGTAGAATTTTGTGAGTCTGAGTTTCCTTATCTGACCTCCCCTGATACTCCCTCTTCACCGGTTGCTACATGGCCTCTGGTATCTGAGGATGATGATGATGTGGTAGCTCCGGTTACGACGGGTACTGCTGCCAATAGGGCTCCAACATCTACTGACGATAGGGGGGGTGTTGGTTTCCCAGAAGAGGTGCTCGGTCGTGGTCATCGGATCAAGCGTCCCTCTTCACGTCTTGCTGATTTCGTCTCTCACACTATTTGTTCGTCCCCTCACTCTGGCTCCTCCATTGCATCCTCGAACTCTGGTACGCCTTATCCTCTTGATCACTATGTTTCTTGTGCTTCTTTTTCTTCAGCACATAAGTCCTTTTTGGCCACCGTCACTTCTAATATTGAGCCTCGGACATTTTCTGAGGCTGTTAAAGACAGTCGTTGGCGATCTGCCATGCAACTGGAGATTCGCGCATTAGAAACCAATCACACTTGGGATGTTGTGTCTCTTCCTACTGGGAAACATGCGATTGGCTGTAAGTGGATCTATAAAATTAAGTATAACTCTGATGGATCTGTTGAGCGCTATAAGGCGCGTTTAGTTGTCTTGGGTAATCGGCAGGTTGAGGGCATTGATTATCAGGAGACGTTTGCACCTGTCGCCAAGATGGTTACAGTGCGAACTTTCCTTGCTGTCGCGGCAGCTCGCCATTGGGAGGTCCATCAGATGGACGTACACAATGCTTTTTTACATGGGGATCTGACTGAGGAAGTCTACATGAGACTTCCTCCGGGCTTTCATTCACCTGAGCCTGGTAAGGTATGTCGGCTACGCAGGTCCCTGTATGGCTTAAAGCAAGCCCCTCGGTGTTGGTTTGCGAAACTTGCTACTGCACTACGACAGTATGGTTTTCAACAGTCCTATTCTGATTACTCCTTGTTCGTCCTTCATCGTGACTCGTTGAGCTTGCATGTTCTGGTATATGTCGATGATCTCATCATTTCTGGGAGCGACCCAACCTCCATTGCTGCATTTAAGGAGTATCTGGGTCGATGTTTTCATATGAAGGATTTAGGTGTGCTGAAGTACTTTCTCGGCATTGAGGTTGCTAGGAATTCTTCGGGCATTTTCTTGTGCCAACGAAAGTACACTCTTGATATTGTGACTGAGACCGGTCTACTTGGTGAAAAACCGGCGGACTTTCCCATGGAACAGAATCACCAGCTTCCCTTAGCAGACGGTCCTCTATTTTCTGACCCCGAGCGTTATCGGCGTCTCATTGGGAGATTGATCTATTTGACAGTTACTCGTCCAGACTTGACCTATGCAGTTCATACTCTGTCTCAGTTCATGCAGCAACCTCGTCAGGCCCACTGGGATGCTGCTCTTCGGGTGGTTCGTTATTTGAAGGGTACTCCGGGTCAGGGTATTCTTCTTCGTTCTGATTGTGACTTGCAAATTTATGGTTGGTGTGACTCTGACTGGGCGACTTGTCCCACTACACGTCGGTCTCTCTCGGGCTGGTTTGTACAGCTTGGTCATTCACCTATTTCTTGGCGCACCAAGAAACAGCACACTGTGGCCCGGTCTTCTGCCGAGGCCGAGTATCGAGCCATGGCGACCCTTACTTGTGAGTTGAAGTGGTTGAAGGGTTTACTTCTCAGCCTTGGCGTCGCTCATTCTCAGCCCATGCGGATTCATTGTGACAATCAAGCAGCACTGCACATTGCTGCTAATCCTGTATTTCATGAGCGCACGAAGCATATTGAAGTCGATTGTCATTTTCTTCGTGATGCTCTTATTCAAGGTCTCATTTCTGCCGCTCATGTTTCCACTCACTCACAATTGGCGGACATCTTCACCAAGGCCTTGGGAAAACGCGAGTTTGATTTTTTTCTCGGCAAGTTGGGCATCCGGAATCCGCATGCTCCAACTTGAGGGGGGGTGTTAGTGTGATTTTGTGAATATTATATTTTTGGTAGAGATATGTTTTGATATCTTAGAGATTTGGTGTATATTTGTAGGGCTTCTCTTTGTATCTATTTATTCAGCCTTTGTAAACTCTGTTGGATAAGTTGAATGAATCAATTTCGTATATGGTTCTTTGACATAACCTCTATTGTATTTGCAGTACGACGTTTCTTGGGTAGGAACGAATCCTCTCTTTATGCAAATATATAAGACTCAGAATACTTCCCTATGAGGTATGGTGAGGGGTGCATATTTACAGTATTTGTAGCCAATCTTGCAACGATCCTCATGTCTCTTGGCCTTGGCCTTATCATTATTATGTAAGAAGCCAGCCTCCAGTTCTTCCATATTTAGTTACAAATATTGGCCCGAAGGTTTAATATTGACAATAGTACGACGACCAAACTCTAGTGGCGCCCAATAGTTTGATATAAGCCAACTATTTTTTGATATTCGTTATTTAGGTGAATCAGAAAAAGGTTGCATACTTGCATACAAGTGCAGGACACTTATCCAAGCGCGCGCACACACAGAAGGAGAGAGAGAGAGTTTTTATACAAAAATTGACGATGTTTTTGTCTTTTTTTTGTTTGTGAGGAAAGGTTAAATAAATTTACTTTCAGAGAATAAATTAAAAAAGAAATAAAAAAAAAAAGAGAGAGAGAGAGAAATACATGCAGATGGTAGACATACACTTATTGATGAACCAAAGAAGGTTAACAATCAAGAATTCATGATATATCAAGAGAGAAAGAAAGAGAAATGCTTATAAGCAGAACCCGTCATCGGCCGCCAGATAACTCGACAGCGTCCAGCATCCCAACCGAGTCCTCACCCCAATCGATCCTCCTCTGCAACCTCTCGTATTCTACCCTCCTCCTCACTTCCGTATTCTCCCACAACTCCCACCTCTCCGCCAGACCTTCACCTTCCAACATCCTCACAACCTCAGACATAACCGGCCGATCTTCCGGCATCCCCTGAGTGCACAGCAAAGCCACCTGAATCATCATCTCTACCTCATTCATCACATCATCACTCTTCTTACCCAAATTAGGGTCCACAATCTCTTCCACTTTTCTCTCCTTCTGCAGCTTCTTCACATGGTCAAGCAACAAAACATCGTCTTCCTCCTCCAACCGACCGAAATCTATAGCCCTTTGCCCGGTCACGAGCTCCAAAACCATCATCCCAAACCCAAACACGTCCGTTTTCTCAGATGATTTCCCGGTGGAAAGATACTCGGGGGCAATGTGGCCCATTGTCCCGCGCACTTGAGTAGTGACGTTCGTTTTTCTCACGTCCACCAATTTGGCCAGCCCGAAATCGCCCACGACAGCTTCGAAATCCTCGTCGAGCAAAACATTCGCGGCTTTCACGTCGCGATGGATGATTTTTGGATTGCATTGTTCGTGAAGGTACTCGAGCCCGCGGGCCGTGCCAAGCGCCACTCGTTTTCTGGTCGACCAGTCCAGAACGGGCTCGCCCGGTTTAAGATCTGTTTAGGTATCCAACATAACCAAAATATAAAAAATTAAAAAAAAATTGAAAAAAAATACTAAACTAACAAAATACCTCGGAGGCGAGATGCGACGCTCAAGTTCTGCATGAAAGGGTAAACCAAGAGGCGCTCGGTAGGGGTAGTGCAAAAGCCGATGAGCTTTAAAAGGTTTCTGTGGATGGCAACACTTATCATCTCGACTTCTCGCTGAAAAGCTGTTTCGGTACCTGGGTTCTTGTAATCCATCAAGCGCTTCACGGCAATTTTTGTGCCATCTGAAAGAACCCCTTTGTATACCTTCCCGAATCCACCTTGCCCGAGAACATTGACTTCGCTAAAGTTGTCCGTAGCAAGTTGCAGTTCCCGCCAGGAAAATCTCTTTAGTTGACCGAATTCGATTCTCCGGTCAATTTCACCTGAGCAGAGGGGAAATTTTATGAAAAGGGAAATTGGTCATGTAAAATGGATGCAGAATATTGCCCCAAATGTTGACATCTAATTATTTGTCTATTTATAGAAACCATTTTGCTGTCAGCCTAAAGTTATATTAATAATTTTACAACTTTGTAGAAAATTATTCATCTAGTGAGGATGAACCTGAAACATCAACATAAACGTCTCCCCTAAGGCCTCTTTTCCCGCCCTTCCACCAAATGAATACGAGGTAACTTCCAAGTATGAGAATAACCCCAAGTGAAACGGTAATTCCGACTATCATATTGATCTTCGGTTTACGTTTGCGACCTGCAAATGAAGCATTAAGTGATAATAGATCAATCTCACCTCAATCGCTTAACCCTCGAGTATTCTCAAAATACAAACTCAAACAACAATGATATATATAGCTTGAAGGCACACCCTCACTGGCAGGGTATTAATGTAACTAAGGGTTCATTTCAAAATGTCCCCTGAGGTTAAGTATAATTAAAGC